AGCTGGCCCCGGCCCACGGGCCAGGCCCCCCGAGTGGGGCCACCCCCCTGCGCCCTGATTTACTGTGACCTGCCCGTCAGGTGTGCTCGTAGCCTTTTTATAAAAAGCGCAGGTGAAAGTGTTTAAGATGCCCATTCACTGGACTCCTGCAGCACCTCAGCCTAGGAGATGCCACCGCCTCTGTGCCACTGCCGGGATCCAGAGTTACAAGCTGTTATTGTATTAATCACCCAAGGATATTTTTTCCATCGCTTTCCAGAGAGGAAGGGAGAGAGTCATGGACGTGAGACACGTTGATCGGTTGCTTCCCGTATGCGCCCGACCAGAGTCGGGACGAACCTGCGACAGAGGAACGTCCTTGACCCGAATCAAACCCAGGACCTTCCGCCGCGGCGGGCGCTCTAACCACTGAGAAACCAGCCGGGGCCTAAGTTGTTATTTTCAAAAATATAGCTGCTTTTCATTGAAAATGTCATTAACGTTCATGAGTAATGGGTTTGTTGTTTTTAATGAGTTAATATCTTTGTATTTCATTTAAATTTCTAATGTGGTAAATAATGATGAAACACACATGCTGTGCTTGTCCTTTAGAGACTGGTTTATATGACACTGAGGACAATGTCCTCGCTGTCAGGGTTTCCTTCTCCTGGCGGGGTAATTTTGGGTATCCATTCGTCCATCAGCGGGCACTTGGGTGGTTTCCGGGGTCAGCTGCTGTGAATGCTGCTGCTGTGGACACGGGTGTGCAGACATCTCTCCGAAACCCTACCTGTTTTCAATTCTTTTGGGTGTAAACTTAGAAGTGGAATTGCTGGATCATAAGGCAGTTCCATTCTTAATTTCGGGAGGACTCTCCATACTGTTCCCCACAGCGGCTGCACCATCTTCCTTCCCATCAGCAGTGCCCCCGGGTTCCTGTTTCACCACACTCGCCAGCACTTACTGCCCGTTTCCTCATAGCAGCCATCCTCGTGGGTGTGAGGTGGCATCTGCTGGCTTTTACATTTCCCTGATAGCGATGCTGAGCATCTTTTCATGGGTTTATTGGCCATTTGTGTATCTTCTTCGATGAAATGAAATGTCTATGCAAGCCCTTTGCCCATTTTTAAATCAGGGTTTTTTTGTTGTCTTGGAGTTCTCTATATATTCTGCATAACAACCCTTTATCAGATGTATGAGTTGCAAATATTTCCCCCATTCTGTTGGTTGCATTTTTACTCTGATAGTGTCTGATACACAAAAAATTTTAAATTTTCATGAAATCCAATTGGTCCATTTTTTCTTCTCTTTCCTGGGCCTTTGGTGGCACATCCAAGAAGTCACTGCCCAGTCATGTCATGAAGTCTGTGCCCTAGTTTTCTTCTGAGAGTTTTATACTCTTTGCTCTTACATTTAGGTCCTGGATCCATTTCCAGTTAACTTCTGGGTATCTTGTATATTTTTGTGTGAGCTAAGGTCAACTCCACCCCTTTGCATGTGGATGTCCAGTTTTCCTAGCACCGTTTGTTGAAGACTGTCCTTTTCCCTTGAATGGTTTTGACACCTGTCATTTGACTATATATGTTGATATGCTAGTGGTTAGAAGACAGTATGAATTTGTCAACTGCACACATGATTTCACTGCGTGTAGGGCTTGAACCCACTTCCTTCACTTACCTGCTATAAAACCTAGGGCATGCCCACCTTCCTGCACCTCCTTTCCCTGCGGCCTGGGTTGGAATGAGTAGTAATTGTGGGGAGTTAGCACCCCTGACACCAGGCTTAGGCGTGGTAGGGCTGGGTGCTCACAGTGGCAGCCCCAAACCTGTGAACCTGAGCATTCTGAGAGCACTGAAACCTTGGGACTGTCCCTCTGTCCAGAGCTACCTTGGCTGTTGGGACGAGTGCCCCCACTCAGCTCACCCTCCTGGAGAGCTCACGGTTGCTAGGCACCTGGGGCAGCGGTCTGACAGTGGGGACCCTTGAGTCAAACCAACAGTGTTCTGGGTATTTTGCTAATCCATCTCACACAGCACTTCCCTGCTGAGAGCATGTGTCCACAGGCTCCGATCCCTGGAGAGAAGACTTAACCAGGGCTTTCAGTGCTCAGAGAACCCTGTCCCTCATCTGTTCCATGTGCCCGCCCAGTGACGTCTGCGCCCCAGAACCCTTCTCCATGTGACGAGCAGTCTTCTGAAGCAGTCCATCCGCTGGGCCAACCCAACACCTGGCAATGAGGGCTCGTCTTAGACGCTTTGCAGCCCTTTCCGAGGCCAGAGCAGCTGAGGCAGTGAAAGCTGTCGGCGCAGAAACATCAGCTACAGCCATGTTTGAAGGACCTTTGTTCACAGCCAGGGTTTACCCTGGATCTTCAGAGGCCAGTGCCAGACCCCTAGGAGTGGCTGGATAGTCACGAAGACGGGTGTTAACCGTTACAGCTGTAAGATGAGCCCATCGTCGGGGTGTTGTCGTGCCTGGCATTTTTGTGCTGCAGCAATGGGGTGAGCAGTGGAAACCAGCCCAGCACACGCACCATGACCGAGGAAGAACCCGTGTCTGTGTATTGTCACCACTGCAGGGACCAAGCAGCCCCCTCCTGACCCTCTGACCTAGGACAGTTTGGTTCTCAAACAGGCGAAGGAGCTGTGCGTCCAGGGAGGGACTGACCATCCAGCAAACCCATCCCGAGAGACACCTGAAATGCTGTCTTCATTTTGCAGGCCCCTCACCCGAGGAGGCGGGAGACTGAGGCTGAGGTTACACATAGGGGAACCACCACACAACGTGCCCAGGGCCTGGTTCCATGCTCTCAACAGGGACCCAACCTTTGCATGCCCTGTGGACACAGCACCGTCCCTTGAAGATGTCTGAAAGTCCAAGCACTGGGGCAGGAGAAACCAGAACTAGCAGGAACTGCTGATTCACGCTCCATGGGGTCTAGTCATCCCTCCAGGACAGTCTCTGACGTCCTGTCCTCCCGGCGGAATGGAAGTGGCCCAGGCAGGGCCCCATGGTTGTCCTGGCCCATCTCCCTCTCAGGTTGTCCCCAAGGCTCCTGCTGCGGTGCTCAAGGAAGGGTCAGCCTGCAGATCGGCCGCACAATCTGATCTGAAGCTAAGGTTACACATAGGATATCAAAGGATAAAGCTGCCAGTGCTTCTGAGTTTTGGATCTTATTAGGATTTTTAATGATGTCTTCATCTCCTTATTCCTCAGGCACATGTTGCGGCCTGTAAGACTGTGAGCCACCACCTCCCTAGGTTAGGAGCACTCTCCCAGGGCAGGTATCCTGAGAGGAAGCGTCTTGGCTGGCTGCCTGGAGGGATGGCAGGTTCGTGGGAGCCTCCCAGTGGTGTTTCTCTTGTCCTGCTATGATTTCCTGACCTTGTGACCCAATGAGGACCCAGCAGGCAGATGGCCTGTCCTCTGCATCCTCAGGAAATGCCTGCTCACTAGACAGCTCCGAGGCCATCAGGCTCCACTTAGCCTGTCTCCAGAGCCTGCAGGGTCAGACCAGATTGTGAGGCTGATTTGCAGGCTGATTCTTCAAGCACCACAGCAAGAGCCTTGGGGACAATCTGAGAGGGAGAGAGGGGCCAGGACAACCATGGGACCCTGCCTGGGCCACTTCCATTCTGCAGGGAGGGCTGTGCCGGCTCAGTCTCACACAGCACTTTCCCTGCTGAGAGCACGTGTGTCCACAGAGGCGACACTGAGATAGGCAGCCCCAAGTAGCAAAAATGCTGTGATGCCCATGAGGGAACAGGACCTGCTTCTCTGGGACCTTCTCATGAGCAGGTTACACCCCTGGAGAAGCCTGAGTGCTGGTGACACCCTGACCTTGACCCGGCCTGGGAGGTAGCACCATTCCCATTCCTGGGACAGAGCTGGACAGGCCCAGCAACCTAGATGCAAGCCGCCATCCCCAACACTAGGTGGCCTATTAAATCTCTGGCACCAGTGGTCCTATAACATCAATTTACACTTTACATAAAACACTCTGCAAGGTTGAGCTGTCTGTACATGGCCAACTCCCCGGGGGCTCTCGGGAAAACGGGCTGGCACAGAATCAATGGACACACAGCTGCACTCAGAACTCATCACAACACGGTGGCTTCTAATTGCAAAGCTACAAAATCAAGTCTTCAGAGAAAGTCTTCACTTTCAAAAGTGTTTTAATTACAAATGTGATCTTGAAGCCTGGATACACAACAACACCCTCTCAGAGGGAACCCACCACTCCATACAACTGTGCGTGCATGTGCCTGTGTGTGCGTGCAAGTGTGCGCATGTGCACATGAGCAGGTACACGTGCATGTGCGCACACGTGTTTGTGGGTGAGTACACAAGTACGCACATATACATGTGCATGTGTGCACATGTACACGTGTGCACGCGCGTGTATGTGAGTGCCCACACGCAGCAGATTGTCTTCCATTCAGAGTGGTACTATGATCTAAGCATTGATTATTCCTACAGAAAGAAAACAGTCACCTGAAAAGAACAAGTGCAGAGATGGACGTACACCTGTGCTTTGTTAAATAACCCTAAGTCACCTGCAAGTAGCCTCTGCCCTGACCCCCCAGTGCACACCAGGTGTAGCCCACCTGTTTCCGTGTTTCAAACATGCACGCTGGGGAAACAAGGACACAGTACTTCGGGTACAGGACAAATATTTTAACGAAGGACTCTCGTTTTGTGACATGGGTTTGGCCCACAGTGACAGTGGAGCCCTGGTGACAAGAGGAGCAGACATGGCCAGAGGCCTGGCTCCCTTCAAGGCTGAAAGCCACCTGGGAACTTAGTCGACAACTCGCAGTATTTCTGGCCCCCTGGGTTGCCATGGCAATGCTTCCTTTTGTATATACAGCTGGCAATTAATGCATGTCTTGATCTTCAGCAAATCCTAGTCAAACAGTTTTAACTTAAATATTTAAATCATCTTTCCATCATTGAAGGTTGTCAAAAAACATGGAATCTGACAGCAACTCATTTCATTCAATCCAATGCTCTGAAGCACTCACTTTTGTTACCCTGATGTAGACAGCGGTTCCTGGCTATGTGCAGGGTTAGTTTCAAAATACATCTTTTCCTGTTATTGGTTCCAATTTAAACTACTTCGGACACTCCGTGATGCTGCATTCTGAGGAGCATGGTGCCCTTCCTGTTCCTTCCTCTAGTTACAAATTTATCCTCAAGGCTGCTGTCAGCTAAGCACACCCCAGCTGACCTGTCATGTGAAACTGATGAAAGAATGTTCCTTTCCAAACTTAGTGAAAACTGATGATCCCAAGGGAAGCTTTATGGAGAGACGGCTACAGTAGTGAATGTTTGGCAATCGAAAGTTCATTAGGATTAAGTCCTCAGCTGGGGATGGCAATTTCTCCATGAACTCGGTCCTCAGAAAGGCTAGCGCTGCCGTGACCGGAGCTCAGAGGAGCCAGGAGATGGAATCCGGCCTGGTAGGTGTCCCGGTCCCGGGACCACCCGGGACCTCAGTAGATGTCTGGGCAGCCTGAGAAATCCCGCTCGAAGTAGCCCCCCGAGTATAGCCAGTCGGGGGTCCCAGTGTGCGGGTTCCTGCCCTGGTGAAACCACCTGCAACACAGAGGAGAGTCAGGGAGCAGCTGGGATGGTCACACCACCACCAGCCTTCCTGGGTTAGGACAGAGCACCTCTAACTAAGCATCATCCCAGCAACGTGCATTTCTAAAGCCAGCCCGGGGCAGCCGCTCCAACTCAGCTTAGTGACATCACATCTACATTCACCCTGCACATCCCCCATGTCAGCCTCACTTCCCGACAAAACATCATGGATATGACAGAAAACACTTGGGCTGGGCCGCAACCAGAGAAGGGGTGCTGAATCTCAAGCCACCCCGTGACTTTGCGGGTGAGAACGGTCACAGTGCAGTTTCCATCCCTCTGAACATGCCAGGTCTGCACAGTCTGTTAACGGGGAGGAGGCAGGATCAAGGGCAGAGGGAGTCATGTAGCCTCCAGCTTGTCCTGTGAGCCAATCCAGTCACTGCCACCAGCTCCCAGCACAACGGTCACCGCCCGTGGCCTCTCTGTGCAGTGGGAGAGGGACGCTCTCGGTTTACCAGGGAGCGGGCTTGGAGGACTCACAACGTGGAAGTAATTTTCTCAGGACAAAATGTCATTATTTTCACAGTATATTTTTTAAATTGACTACTGTAAAAAAACAATGAAGGAACATTAACTATTTTCAAGCTATCGTTTCCTGAAACAAAGCAAATTCCATGTATCAAACTATTAAGAACATAGTATTAAATGTAACTGGAAACCCAGCCATTGAAAATTGGTTTTAAAAACAAGAGCCACATAAAAGTTACGAGGTGACGTCACTGGGCCCTGAACACAACAGCTATAGCAAATCTGGCTGGTAAACAGTGCAGAACCACACCGTTTTCTAAGACTAAAACTTTATCTGAAGTATTGCAGTCCCTATTAAATGTACTGTTGTCATGTTGACAATAAAAGAACAAATGACAACTAATTGGAGACATTCCTCCCTGGACTGCTTCCTCTGGGTAGAGGCACGTGTAGACACTCATGTGTGCACCCCGCTCACACAGCATGCAGCTCAGTGGTCACTGGATAAGTGCTCGCAGGCGTAGGAAGGGCGGCCAGCCCACTCCCCACGACGTGGCATGGCTGTGGCCTCTGTGGTGCTGTGTCATGTGGAGGGAAACGTGGGGACAGCACACTGCATGCAGCAGCAGCAGGGGGCTTCCAGACACAGAGCACCACCTCTCTGAGAGCTGTTGTTTTCCCTGTTTGTGGCTTGGTTCTTGCTATGTTCTTTTAAAAACGGCTATATTTGAAAAGTGCTCAGGGTCAAATACATAGGTGCCAGGGTGGGGAGGCTCGGTCTCAGGTGAGGTGCCTCTCACCAGCAGGTGGAACTACTTCTGGGAGCCTAGGCCTATCTGTGTGGTAGGCAGAGTGCAGAGCATGGGGCTGCTGCCACCATCGTAACAAACGTAGAGACAGCTTCCGGTCAGCCATAGCTGTGTGCAGGGGTCCTCCTCACTGTGCCAGGGGTGTGTATGTGTGTGTACAGGGGTTCTACTCGCTGTCCCCAGGTGTGTGTGTGGGTGCTTGTCACTGTCCCCAGGTGTGTGGGGGGTGTTCCTCACTGTCCCCAGGTGGGCGGGTGGCCTTCCTCACGTCCCCTTGCACCAGGCAAGGCCTCACCTCGTCTGCCACTCAGTGTCCTCCTGGGCACGCTCTCTCCGGGCTTCCCTCTGCTTCTCCTCCAGCCGCTCCTTCTCCTGGCTTGCCAGATCTAGGCCCAAGCATACAGGTCTGGGTAAGGAATCAGGGTGGACCGTGATGCCGCCTGTCCCCCATGTTCAAACACCATGAGAGGAACTGTCATCAAGAACCCAAGCCCAGATGCCCAGGCCTCCAGTGTTGAGAGACAACAGGGCCCCAGCCTGGCATCAACCAAGGGCACTTGCGAAGCTCCTGGGGCCATGTCACCAGCAGGGCCAGTGTCAGCAGAGCCCCAAACACGGGTCATACTCTGGGGCCGGTTCCCTCACACAGTTACATTCCACCTTAACCTTCAGGGTCTGTGGCTGCGCTATTCCCAAGGACTGAGGAGGCACCTGACCGTGAGGCCCCTCTCCTCCCGCCCTGCTGTCTGTACCCGTCCCTGAGCGGTTTCTTTACTGACACCCCCTGAAGCCAGAGCCAAGAGTGCCCTCCCAGACTCCGGGAATCCCATTCCTGACCTGGCCTAGAGTCCTACGTGGTGAGCAAGAGGCTGCCGCTCCTCACACTGACCCCTCTTGCTGCCCTGAATAGTGGTCGCCCACCGTGTGCCCCAGGTGCCAGCACAGGACCGTCTCATCCCATCTGCAGCAGGGCCCCCACAAAGACGCCCTTTCTGATAGGCAGCCCTGGTGTCTATGGAACCTAATACCAGATACCTGGGGCTTGCCTTCTGTGTGTACTCCACATCCCACTTTTCCAGTCATTTAATCTTGCTGTGATTTACAAAGGGATTGGTCAGCAATGGGCTGGAAATCTGAAAACCTGTTACCCAGGTCATTTGCAACCTCTGTGCTGGGAGACCTAACACCTTATTTGCTCATGAAAGGCCACTAGCATTCCTTCTGCTTGTCATGGGATGACTGCTGAGTCCCCAACATGCTCAGGCACGCACCCATGTTGCCGTTCTCCATGCTTCGGATGTCGGGGCGTAGGCGGCAGTCCGTGGGGGCCAGGATCTTCTCCATGCCCGTCTGCAGCTCATTGAGACTAACGGTAAAACTGGTGAAGTTATACATCTGAAGACAGACAGAAACCTGTAACCACCATGGCAGTGTCTCCTGTGCACCACCCGCTGGAGCCACACACACACAGGTTCCCTGGAGAAACCCCCGCCAAGGTCACGCGGGGCAGGGCTCCATCCCTGGCCTGAGTCAAACCTGCCTCAGTCTCCTCTGGGCCCCCCCGACTTGATGGCAACTTGTAGGTCTATCTCCCCAACATCTCTGGGGTGAGTGGTTTGTTTTATACATACTCTGCTATGTTACAGGACGTGATAATACAATAAAAACTATAATACACTATATATTTATTCTATCTATAACTCACAATATGAAAAATAAAACATAGCTTATTACATGTTATATTCATTACACAATTATTGTTATATATGTTATTGTATGTAAAAAGTTTATTATAAATACAAATTGCAAGTTTAATTTTCAAAAATAAATATAAAAATACATTTAAGCATCTAAATTAACAAGTCAGGAAAAGAACCCCTGCAAACCACTCTGGAACTCCTCTGAGTAAAGTGCAGAGGCGTAGACCTTCCTGGGCACACAGGGTGTCCCAAGGCCACCTCTGCCCGGTGTGCCTGGGGCCGCTGTGACACTGTGATATATGCAGACATGCGTGTCAGTTGTGTATAACATGCCACTGCGACCCCTGTAGAGAGAGCACTGCCTGTGTTGCTGGGAGGATGGGCACGGCTCACACTGCAGAGCTCAGTCCGATCAGGGGACAGAGGGCCTCTGTCTGCTCTGGGACAGTGACTGAGGTGGCTGGTGTGGACATGGGGTCAGGGCAGGTGCGGGGGGAGCACTGACCTGGGCAGAATTGGGCGGTCGGGTATTGATCCTCCAGAGGAGCCTGCTGCCAGGAATGACCTGCACAGTGTCCTGGGCTTCAGGCACAGCGTCCACATCAGCATCAGCTTTCTCCGAGACGACGGCCTGAAATACAGAGCACACGTCAGTGGCTGGAGGGAGAAGGGCTCTGAGAGCACCTTTCAGACCCAGTACTGAGCCCGAGCAGAGCGAGATGCCCTGCTAAGGAGGGAGGTGCCTATGCCCTGCTGTCACCTGGCTGCCCTCGGTTTAAGAAGAGGCCAAGTCAGTGGTGACAGCTCTCCTCCCGGGAGCGTGGGCACCATGAAAGGATGCGCTCCCGAGTCTGATGGCAATGGCCAGGAGGCACCATCTAGAAGCTCATTCCATCCAAACTAAGGGTGACTCTAACAGCTCATTTCTGAGAGGGGGACTTCCCTCCATGCTGCCCTCAATCAAGACCTGGTCCAGACTCAATGATCTCATGGTGTCCCAGAACTTCTAGACTACACCCCACCTGGAGACCACACCTCCATTAAGATATCAAAGCCAAGGGGGCCTGGAGAAAGAAGACAGTGGTTATTCATGCAGCCCTTAGGGGGAAGGAAGTCAGTATGACAAACACAGCTTAAAGGCCTGACACCTGACTGTAGGTTACAGGGTTTGGTCGAGAGCTAAACTGGGACTAGACTCTGTCCCTTCCAGGTTACCCGGGACAGTGAAGTTCAGCATACACACTGAGGGTTATCACCCGTGGGTCTGACACACTGGTCTGCATAGTCTCTATGGAACGGAGCCTCACAGGAAAGGACACTAACGGCACAGGAGACACCACAGTGTGGAACATCGCATGGCTGGGAACGGCAGTGCGTCTGCTAAGTCAACACTGCACACCCGGGCGGTATGCCGTCTACAAAAGAGGACACCTCTGTGAACTAGTGCTCTTGGGTTCAGCTTCGAAGGCTTCAGGTCAGCAGTACTGCAGAGCTCCCGGGAGAAGCCGCCCTGGCGTGGCTGTCTGACTGCCGACACATCAGGAGGATAAGTGCAGGAAGGACACTCACTCGATTTCCTAACAGGTCTCAGTTAGCAAGGGCAGGGACAAAGGGGTTTATTAAGAGGTATCCAGAACAAGGCATTTCCTGAAGAAAACAGAGGTGCCCCGGGTTCTACATCACTCGATGTGGGGGACAGACGCTGTGGCACAGGACCAGAGCCCTCCGCACTGTCAGCATCAGATACACCCTCGCCAATCCAGAGGACAACAGACAGCAGTTTCACTGACAGGCAGAGTCTGTGTATCATCTTCTCACAGGGCCCCTGCTGAGGGGTCAGGGCTGGTCTGGGGGGACTCCCCCAACAGTGCAGAGAGCCAGGACAAGAGAGAGACAGGGGCCGGGCAGCGCCTTACTGGCTGTGCCTTCCTCAGGGGCTCACTCCTCCGCTCCTGCTTCCTGAAGGAGTCATATGCTGCAGGGTCTATGCCCCACAAACATTCCGTCCACTTGCCGTAGATGATGAACAGCTTCTTTTTGCTGGAACGAAGGGGTTTATAAACCAAGTTAAAAACAATTATAAAACACCCACCCCAATGTGCAGCCCCCACTTCAACCATCAAATAAAGTCCCGTCTGGCTGTCTTCTAACCAGTCTTGGGCTATTGCTGCACAGAAAGGCAAAGAAGAAAATCTGCATTTTAGGATCTCTACTTATGCCATTTGACAATGACTATCCTAATTACCCAATGTCCTAATGAGCCAAAGCAAAAGCAAGGAGGAAGGTACAGCAGCTAACGGGGTGGAGACGGTGGGGACAAGAAGGGGCGGAAAGGTGCGTCTGTGTTTAGATGTGAAGCGCTATGTGCCTGTCCCCGACTGAATGCACTGGATTTCCAGCCCTTTCTCCATCAGCCATGCGAACAGGCCTCATACTGTCTGCTGTATCTTCATGACCACACGTCAGAGGCACTTCTGCCTGTCTGCCTCCTTGGGCAGTAATAACCTCTAGGGACCTTCCCAGATGAGCCACCTTCCAGCTCACAAAGGGGCAGCACCAGTGCTGGGCCTCTTCCTTCCTTCTGCACCTTCGGGGGGAAGAGCATAGTGGACGCTATGCTGCTGGAGATGTTGCTCTGCGAGCACAGGACCCCAGAGCACCCGAGTCGCAGGCCCAGCCTGGAGAGCCACCATTCCTCTTAGAAGACACAGCTCAGTGGACATGCTCTGTCATTAAGAGGCTCAGCATTAGGAAAGCGCTCACTTGAATTTGGGGTGGGAAAACAGAAAATCAGACCAGGGTTCACAGGCCTTTACTGAGGACTAATGGCGTGTCCTCAAGGGTGCTGCCACCCTACACACACAGTGGCACCCAGAGCCGTTCCTGTGACTCCACCAGGGAGAGGCTGCCCTGACAGGGCTGCTGTGCTGTGAGGGCACAGTGGGCAGAGTCCTAAATGTAAAGGTGTTTTCCAGGCAGAACAGGCGCATTTCTGGCCCCCACAGAGCAGGACTGGGCAAAGACCTGCTGTTTCACATAGAAACTTGTTTCTAACTGAAAATGTACAGATTTTAAGAGCTGGACATGGCCCCAATTACTTATGGGGGGAAAAAATGAGAAAATTGAGACTCAAAACATAAGTAACCCAAGGGAAGGAGGCTCAGAATTTTGTTAAAAAGCTACTAACCATTTCTCTGCTCACAAAACCTATAAATTCCCTAATTTACGGACTGGAAAGAAACAGACCCATGAAGATGAAGCTCACGGAGCCATGTCTGAGCTTCGCTGATAGCCTGCCTGCCTGGTGGCGGGAGGACGCATGTCACAGTTCAAACCTCGCTCTAAGGCTGCAGCAGCATCCCTGTGGAAACCTCTCATTTCCTCGGGTCCACTTTACCTTTACCCTCGAGAGAGGATGACACGGGCCCCACCACTCACCACCCTAGAAATGGCACCAAAACTTCTTTTAGCCCCTGTTCTGCTCAGTCATTAAACGTTTTCTCCAACCAAACAAATGTTTCTCAACCAAACGTTTTCTCCATTTCCATGTGGTGAACAGACCTCACTGGGTTAACGCCCTCTTTTGCCCTCTAAGCCAACTCATATGTGGACCTACTTTTTGTCTTGAATGTGTCCTTCCACTTTGTGAAGCTCTTTTCCAAACAACCCACATGGTCTAAAGTGAAGCACACACTTATCTCCAGTCCTGTGGGAAAAGCAAACACGGGCCCTGGTTGTGGGACATGAGCCATCCAGAAAAGGAGAGGGAGAGAGGGAAAGAGGGAGACAGAGAGGGGGAGAGGGGGGAGAGAGAGAGAAACATCAATGTGAGAGGGAAACATTGATCAGCTGCCTTCTGTATGCCCCCTACTGGGGAT